ACGTACCAAAAAAGTATAATTTTTCTATAGCAATAGCAGCAGTAGATAAAATGTTGTCAATGCCAGAGGACCGGGACAATGGCTTGGATGCAGACATTTATGTTCTTTACATTTTTGGTAGATATTATAAAAAGAAGCCTGACAGTATGTAGTTAAAGGGAAGGCGCACGCACACACACACACACACACACACACACACACAGACACAGAGTTCATCAGTGGAGGACTTTCATGTTTGAAGCAGGCCTAGGTCCAGTGTGTTCATAAAAACAAACTCTGTGCCAGGTTTGGCAGAGGTTCTGTCAGAGTGCAAGTTTTCAGCGACAGCAAAGGTGACGGGCAGGTAAATGTAAACCTTCATCACATTAGCATCGACAGCAGCCTCTGATGTGTTCTGGCTGCCGTCTTAAAAGCTGCGAAGCTCTGACCAGAGTCGGCTTTTCCTGGTTCCACACAGAGCTGTGGGAATTTATTCAATTAGTTGAAGTGATGAGATCAGAGAGAAACGGCTGCAGAATGTGCTGAGCTCCACTGGATCAGCTCTCCCTGAACCTCTTTAATTCACCAAAAGTGTGCGTTCGACTGAGGAAGTGCCTCAGAGCAGCTGCTGGTGCCGAGTCCATTAAATCTCGCTCATCCATCAGCCGCTGCACAGGAAGTGAAGCTGACAGACGGTCTGATGTAACAGGTTACCACTCACCACCAGGTTAACCTACTGACCGACCACTGCTGTCAATGGAACATTTGTATCATTCGCCTCTTGTGGAGGTGAAGTGACACAAGAGACTTGGCTCATTTAACTAAACACACTCTCCTCTTCAGAAACACACACACGTGCACGAGCACAGACTTGGTCACAGACTCAGTCACAGACGATTGCACTGTTGAGGTGTTGATAATGATGCAATTCTAAATCTGCGAAACTGTGGGGGTCACAGCTGAAGATGCCCCCAACCTGACGGTCGCTCAAGAAGTGATGAGGGATTGGGGGTGTCTGGGTAGGGGTGGGGGTTGTGGTATGTACAGGTATGATGTCTAAGGTGGTAACTGGGTGAACTGGTTGACTTACAGCAGGCTGAAGAAGTTCCTGGGCCTCGGCGTCCCGTCGTCTCCCCTCACTCGTCTCTCTCTGCACGTCTGCTCAGACGGACGGTACTGGAGGGTCCACGGGTCTGGAGCTGCAGCAGGATTAAAAAGTCATCATGAAATTCAACTCTTCCCTAGGAAAACAGGAGCGTGAAGCGCGGCCCCACGCTCCTGTTGACAGAACAAACCACGGCTCTGGTTCCTCTCACCGTCACAGGTCGGAGTAAATAATGGACTCAGTTCTACAGAACTTTGATGGATGGTTTGGTTGAATGAGACAGAAGTCATTAAGTGGAAGACCACCAGGAGGACCAAGAGTTTAGTCCAAGAGGTGTCTGGTTAACACTGCTAACAACTGTTAGCTGGATTAGAACCGACTCACGTCTGGTTAACACTGCTAACTGTTAGCTGGATTAGAACCGACTCATATTCACAACAAATATTTGACTTTGACAAATATACGTCCAGTTTCACTGACTTTATCTTCGTCCTATTGTCCAGTTTTACTCTCTAACGCCTCCTACTGTGTCACTGGTCCTCCAGCTACAGCTGCTGAAGTATTTACTGCACATGTGTCCAGTGACACCGGGTCAAGGCTGGGTTTCACGCGAGTGCAATAAAAAGGCGGCACACTAATTCAAGCATTAGCACGTTGCTAATTGCGGCGAGTCTGCTTTCATGAATTCCCTCCTGACATACGAGTCCCAGCTCTGTAAAAAAGAAGGAATTCCGCGGCAGGAACAAACGGAGCGGTGCCGCAGATGTTCGTTCTGGGGTCTGCAGTAGGGGGAGAGAACGGGGGACAGAATCGTAGGAGACGTCTGTGAGACTTAACCGTCCTCGGATGATTGAAGGACGGTTCAAAAGTCTGATTTTTTTTTCATTAAAAAA